ACCCGCCAAACAACAATGACAGCTGCAACCAAAAAATAGCCGGGCGTTGTGGCGGGTGCCTGTAGTCCCAGCTACTTGGGAGGCTGAGGCAGGAGACTCGCTTGAGCCTCGGAGTTGGAGGTTGCTGTGAGCGTGATGCCATGGCACTCTACCCAGGGTGACAGCTTGAGGCTCCGTCTCAAAAAAAAAAAAAGAAATAAGTTTTGGCAGCGATTGATACACAGGAAACTTTTTTTAACTCTTAGTAAACCAGAAATCAGTTAACCAGAATACCCCTTTTTGCAGATGATTAATTGATCATTGACTGTAAAAGGAAAAATAAGTTATTATTGTGTTAATATAACTATACTGTTTGAGAATTCTGTGGTATTTCGTCGTTTGCCATATTGCTTATTTAGGATAGGTCTGTGATAGATCTCCTGAAAATGGTGTTGAAAGGTTAATATCAAAGGGCAGAATTATTGCATCAGTTTTGATTATGGGCAGTTGGTAATTTTCAGATTTTTTTTTCACTCGAGAAAACAAAGTAGCCAGCATAGTGTAAATTAGGAAGGGCAGTTAGTAACTGTAAAGAAAAGTGTGTTCACTTTAAAAATTTTTTTCATTGTCAAGAGTAATTAAAAGATGTACTTTGATGCTTATATAAAGTACATAAAATATTTTTGAATGCCATGTAAGATGATTCTTATAAAAATATAGATCCATGTGTTTATATTTACATATGTAAAACGGATTAGACCAGTAAAAAGACCTAGTACTTGGACTTCCCTAGTGCATGAAAGGGCAGTTTATAATAAGCATGGTGGTTGCTTAGACCTTAACTTCCGCCTCAAGTTAAGGCTAGCTATACCCTGAACGCACCTAGTATTACTTATTTCCTTATCAGTTTATTTCTTTTTAGGTCGTGTTTACATGTTTCATTGGCAACTCCTACTAGGAAAAAGGATTTAATAAATTGTTTATTATGATAATTTAAAAATTGATCCTAAAATAACCCCTTTAAAGCTATAAAGAGTAACCCTTTATTCTAATGTCCCAGGTATGATGAATTATTTTGTGTTCATTCTGTCTGTGTTTTTCTGTAGTGGTTTTTCAGCTGATCCTATCTTAGCCTTTTTTTTTTTTTTTTTTTTTTTTGAGTCGGAGCCTCAAGCTATCCCCCTAGGTAGAGTGCCATGGCATCACGCTCACAGCAACCTCCAACTCCTGGGCTCAAGCGAGTCTCCTGCCTCTGCCTCCCAAGTAGCTGGGACTACAGGCACCCGCCACAACGCCTGGCCATTTTTTTTTTTTTTGGTTGCAGCCATCATTGTTGTTTGGCGGGCCCGGGCTGGGGATTCGAACCCGCCACCTTAGGTGTATGTGGCTGGCGCCTTAGCTGCTTGAGCCACAGGCGCCGAGCCATCTTAGCCTTTATATCCAGAATGAAGTACATCAATTCCAATGTGGGCAAATCTTCATCCCCTCTGCATTTTTTCTTGCCCCTCAGTAGATCAGCTGAATCTGTATCTAGTATTTCAGCTGCAACATGTTTTCATTTTTAATCCTGAGGATGCTACTTCAGTAAAAACATTTAACCTTTTTTTTTTTTTAAGTTTCTAGTCAATCATCTGAACCTGGATAAAAATAGTATTTTTATTTATAAGTAGGTCCTTTTGTTGGCATTTTTGATTTTTGGAAAACCATATGTATAAAATATGTCTGCTAAGATAGCAAACTGGAGGATATGATTTATCATTTTGTTTATTTTGGTAAATAGATGGATCCTACTCTGTATGTGCATGTTTTTAAACCATGTATTATAATAAACTGTCACTCTTCCTCTCCTAGAAAGAAGTCATGGTAGTATAATCTTTTTGCAACTCTTTAACTTTTCTTGCTTTTTTAAAAATAGCATGTATTCCCTGAACGGATATACATTGATGGGGGATATTGGTGATAGAGAGATTGTTGATACTGAATCTCAGCAGAAATCTGTAGCAGCTGCCTATACTCAACTGATGACTTCCAGTTAGATTATTAAACATTGACCTCAATTAATAATCTAGAGATTCTAGTCTGGGCCTGGTGGCTCATGCCTATAATCCTAGCACTCTGGGAGGCCGAGACAAATGGATTGCCTGAGCTCACAGGTTCAAGATCAGCCTGAACCAGAATGAGACCTTGTCTCTAAAAATAGCCTGGCGTTGTGGCGGGCACCTGTGGTCCTAGCTACTTGGGAGGCTGAGGCAAGAAAATCACTTGAGTCCAAGAGTTTGAGGTTCCTGTGAGCTGTGAAGGCACAGTACTGTACTGAGGGCGATGAAGTAAGACTCTTGCAAAAACAAACAAACAAAAAAAAAAACTAGAGATTCTTTTAGAAGCAATTACTAACCAAAGCAGTTAATCTCTGTTAGGGAAGATGACAAACTCTAGCTCTAAGTGGGACTTTAATTTTTTTACCTAATGTTTGTGGGGTTTTTTCCTTTGTTACTTGAATGGGAGTGACCATGTGATCATTTTGTAGGTGAAGACAATTCAGGGTTGTTGACTTCTTAACCCACTAAAATATAAGTCTATTAAAATTGCAAATACATTTTGCTATGAACCATTATTTCTTTTAGTTGCTTTTTTTGCTTTCTTTGAGACAGTCTCAGTCCATTATCCTGGGTAGAGTGCAGTGGTGTTGTCATAGCTCACTACAACCTCAAACTCCTGGGCTCATGCAGTCCTCCTCCCTCAGCCTCCTGTGTAGCTAGGACAACTAGCTCATGCCACTGTGCTTGGTTAATTTTTCTATTTTTGGTAGAGACAGGGTCTCACTCTCGGTCAGGTTGGGCTTGAACTTGTTACCTCCAGCAGTCCTTCTGCCTCAGCCTCCCAGAGTGCTAGGATTATAGGCCTGAGTCACAAGCCTGAACTCTTTTTAGTAACTTTTAGTGCTTTTGACTTATTTGTTAGAATTAGGAAAGATTGTCTCTCAATACTGATTAAATTTAAGGATATATTCAACTCTGATAATTATGCAACATAGTAATATTTTTGAATATAATTATACATTCAATTATATTAGCATATAATTGAAATAGTTGATATGTAATAATAACAAATATATAACAATAATAGTAGTTGCAGTGATACTAATACTGCTGTTTCTTTTTCCATTTCACCTTGAATCAGAAGACGCTCATTCATACAGAAGACCCATTTAATGATGAGCAGCAGGAAAGGCAGGAAGTGGAAATGTTGGCTAAGAAGTTTGAAATGAAATATGTAAGTATAATAAACTGTTCACTTAGGTAATTTTATCCTGTTGGCCATTTCCGTGACTAGTTGGGAGGGCTTATAAACATCCACTGCCTGCCTGCCTTGTTCTTTAAATTAAAAGGTTAGACAATCACATAAAGATTCCGGTAGGTTCAATGGCTATAATAGTAGCTATTGTTTATTATAATCCTTCTGGAGTCTAGGCAGTTTATTTAAAATATATAGAGGGTACCCCCCAAAATGTATACACATTTTAAGAAAGGAAAAACCTTTATAGAAATTGTAAGATTCAATATATACCAGTAACAAAAGATGAATGCACATCAATGTGTGAAAGACACGTTGAGGACCTCTTCGAATAGCAGAAGTCAAATATAACTTGAGTATTGGCTTGGCACCTGTGGCTCAAGCAGCTAAGGCGCCAGCCACATACACCTGAGCTGGCAGGTTCGAATCCAGCCCGGGCCTGCCAAACAACAATGATGGCTGCAACCAAAAAATAGCTGAACATTGTGGCAGGCGCCTGTAGTCCCAGCTACTTGGGAGGCAGAGGCAGGAGACTCACTTGAGCCTAGGAGTTGGAGGTTGCTGTGAGCTGTGATGCCACAGCACTCTACCCAGGGTGACAGCTTAAGGCTCTGTCTCAAAAAACAAAACTTGAGTTTTAACAAATTTCATAGCTTTTTCCTTTCTTAAAATATGTATGCATTTTTTGGCATTGTATATTATCTCCAATCCTTGTAGCCAAACTTCAAGCTAAGTAATATTGACCACATTTTGCAGATGAAGAAACAGGCTTTGATCTTAAGGTTTAAGTAGGTGATCTAAGATTACACCGTGGCAAGAATAGGCTGTCTAGCTCCAACCCTGTTCTACCGCCACTGAGAACATTATTGTAATGCCCTTGATGTGGTAGTTATCAAACCTTTCTGTCTCTTAGGAATTTGAGAGTGAATATGTGTACTTCCAGTCCCCTTGGATCAGAATCAATTTTTTTTGAGACAGATTCACTCTGTTGCTTTAGGTAGAGTGCTGTAGCATCATCATAGCTCATAGCAGCCTCATACTCTTGGGCTCAGGTGATCCTCTTGCCTCAGCCTACCGAGTAGCTGGGGCTACAGGTACACACCACCATGCCCAGCTAGTTTTTCTATTTTTTTTTTTTTTTTTTTTGAGACAGAGCCTCAGGCTATCCCCCTGGGTAGAGTACTGTGGCATCACAGCTCACAGCAACCTCCAACTCCTGGGCTCAAGCGAGTCTCCTTGTTTGGTGGGCCCGGGCTGGATTCAAACCCTCCACCTTAGGTGTATAGGGCTGGTGCCTTAGCCACTTGAGCCACGGGCGCTGAGCCAAGATTTTCTATTTTTAAAGACATGTTCTAACTGTTGCTCAGCCTAAGAGCAAATTCTGAGCTCAAGCTATCCACCCTCCTTAGACTCCCAGAGTGCTAGAATTACAGGCATTGGCCACCTCACCAGCCTTTGGAGATTTTTTGTATCAGAGCTTTCTCTTTATTTTTCTAAGGCTGAATGGTATTTCATTATATGGAAATACCACAATTTATTTAACCAGCCCTCAAATAATTTAGGTTGTTTTCAGAAATTTGCTTTTATAAATAGTGCTGCTGTATGAAATGGCATTTTATATGTTTTTAAGTTTTTCTGTAGGACAAATTCCTAGAAGTGGGAGAATTAGGTCAGAGGATTTATGCATTTATAATTTTGGTATATATAACTATTACCAGTTTCTATTCTCTCCACACTATATTAGAGTGTCTATTTTGCTTTGGGTTACAAGACCAAGGATTAGAATTGCCCTTTGCAAATGGAAAGATTGCTAGCACATTACATACAAGTAATGTGACTTAGTGTATGATATACTATCTCAAAGTTAGCATTAAATCCTATTGGTTGGCTCGGCGCCTGTGGCTCAAGTGGCTAAGGCACCAGCCACATACACCTAAGGTGGCAGGTTCGAATACAGTCCGGGCCACCAAACAACGATGGCTGCAACCAAAAAATAGCTGGGCGTTCTGGCGAGTGCCTGTAGCTCCAGCTACTTGGGAGGCTGAGGCAGGAGACTCGCTTGAGCCCAGGAATTGGAGGTTGCTGTGAGCTGTGATGCCACAGCACTCTACCCAGGGGGA